GGAAGAAGCGTTGTTACCATTGACAAATGAATGTAATCAGCTGGGCTATTATCTCTGCAATTATAGCAATACACTTTGCAGTTGTCAAGCAGAAATGGATATTCATTTAAAAGGGCGGGTGGGTGGAATGTGTTAGAGGATTTTGTGGTCTTCTGACCATTGACTCTAAATTAATCCCATTTTGGTCAATTTGATTACTCCTACATTGGCAATTAGGGAATCTCAGCCATTGTGGATATTGTCTCTAAAAGACAAGCCAGTAGCTAATGGCCAATTACAAATGTATAAATTACAGTTTGTTATTCAGTGTATTAGTAAAAATTAGCATCTTCTAAACTACAGATGAGTCAACTGAATAACCATTCAAGTTCTTGACAGAGGCATAACAAAAGGATCTGAAGTTCTGCATAATAGTTGCACCACAAGATGGAGGATGTATTTGACTTCTGGAAGAAAAAAATGCATTGAGTAAAGACATTTAATTCAGAAAATTCAGCCTTTTTAAAATGCTTCCATGGTTGGGGAGAAACTGAACAGTATTTCTGCTAAAGTCACCTCCTTCCCACTCCCAGAACATATGAATATGGAAACAGCATCTCTGTGGTGTAATTCCTTCCTGCTGCAGATAATATTTGAATAAATATCCCAGATGTGTAACTAGGGCTCATCAGGTAGGTCTTTGCTCACTGATTGGTGCCTTGGTACATATGGGCATAAAAAATGCCTCACAGGTTATTGTAACAATACACTTTTGGGTAGCTTTCCCCAACACAGACTTCTCCAGCATGGTGTTTTGGAGCCATCAGAAGGTGTCAGGTGGGCCTCTCTGAGGAGAGCCACCTAAATGAGTCACCACTCCTGAGTGGGTCCTTTCCCACACTTCCATCCATCGAATTTGAAATGGCAGGAGTGCGTGGCACCGGGCCTCTAGTGAGGGCTTCAGGGAGTGAACAGAGTTAGGTTGCAGAGGCCACTAATACACCATGGAGCCCCACTCGGTTGGGTGCTGAGGAGCTAATGAGAGATTTATGCTGACCTTCCATCCTCTATTAACCCCCACTCCCCCATCTCCATAAAAATGATAAACAGAGTCAGGAGCTCAAGCTGCATTAGTGAGTGGTGGCATAAGAGAGGAAGAGAAATCTCCGAACAGGTCTTTTCCTTCCACTGGCGATCTGTAGAATGGAGATCTGAAGCAGAAGGTCCTTTCCTGTTCTAGAATGCTGATCCTACCGGATGTTCTAGAATGCAGAGCTCATCTCTGGTGACCCCAGCCACTAAGGGCAAGGGTTCTTTTCAGTATAGGCCACTTTTGCATGCACCTCTTTTGGGTTGGGTTGCTCAGTCACACTTTGAGAACTGGCTTTTATACTTAACGATGATCTAGACACCAGAACAAGCATCGTATTGTTCACATAGTCATGCACCAGGGAGCCAGCACACAAAGTAGTTTCCCACATGTGCCATTACCCCTGGGTGCAATGTATCTTTTCTTTCCTCAATTTAGAGTGATCTGTGAAACAGATCTATGAAGAGGACATGTCAGATGCAGCTGCATTTAGGCTTAGCTGACAGCAGGTCACATTAAGAAGGCACTTGCCTAAACACACCTCTGTTGTACACTCTGCCTATTGTGTAGAAGTCATGATGGGAGGGAAAGCTGCTGAACGAAGGGAAGCCCCTACAGAGCTTGCAAGAGTGCATCTGTCTACACTGCTGTCAAAATGCAGAGGTTTTCAAAAGAGCAGATGATTTGCTCTATATATTTCTCCTTGCCTCAGTGTATTTTCAAACAGTCATGTCCTGCTGAGAGAAAGGTACTGAAGTCTTGGTTCACAAATAGTCGTGGCACTTCCTATTTTTGATGCGGCCACAGTTGGGGTTCAGTGCATGTATTCTGTTTCAGAGTATTGGCCAAAATTAAGCTTTTACCTGCAGGACTTCAAAGCAGAGCTTGTTGCATTTGGTATCAGTCTGGTGGTGCTAGCAAACTTTGAATGGCAGTATTTTAATTTGAGAGAAGGGAGTATGGATGAAGGCAGAACGCATTGGGAAAGCATGTGTGGCAACCTCAGGCAAATCCCAGGTTCAGCGCATAGCATCAAAGTGCTGGATCGTACTTAAGACAGGAAGCGTGTTAGCCATGGGAAGACAGTTGTTCCAAGTGACAAACACAGTAAAATATGAAGCAAACACTTGTTTGTGCAAACCTGTAGTAGACACATGGCAGGCAATCAAAGCTATTCAGGGCTCTCGAGCACATGCTCGCCACATGGCCCTCGTCAGGAATCACAGAACCAGGAGAGTGTATGTTCAGATTTACCTCAAGGATGCTGTGTTCAGTTCCAGCAGTTTATTGGCAGGACATCCTCTCTGGCAGTGAAAAAACAACAGCGCTGCCAGGTAGTCGGTACAGCAAACCAACTATGACCTTTCTGAGCATATACAGAGTGTTTTATAGGTTGTGGTGACATACACAGTTTTGAGGCGATGATGAGCGATGAATGGGTACATTTATCGAGGACAATACAAGTACAAACAGAGCAATGTAAGGTTGACATCAGAAAGGATGTTACAAAATGTTATGGCAATATAGGATGATTCAGTGGCCAATAGCTAGACAAATAGTTCAATGATATGAATCATCACCAACCCCAGGTGTGGGTTTTGATGTTCAGGGGAAGGTTATTACATTAGGACAAAAGAAAATCTATTCAGTGCTGCTCCTTGCAGCCAGAGGGCTAGCCAGATACTTTTTTCGTTTTTCAATTGCATGGGAGTTGTGCAATGTATCACCATAGACTAAAGGTACAGGTGAGCATTCCTGAACAGATTAAGTGTTCTTGCCTGTTGGGACAGTGTATCTTGTAGCCTTGGGTGCATGAACGACTTACTCTGTAGGAGAATGGATAGAATTCTGAAGTGTCCAGAGCTATCGGCTTTCCCAGGCCTGTGGTGCTGGGCAAAAACTTCTAGTCCCTTCTAGGGGACAGGAGTAAGGGCACCGCTGCCTGATTTTATAATAAAAGGAGACACAAAAGCATATCTTTTATTTAAGGCTTTATCTGGACTTTCCCAACACTACATCTCTGTTCCCCAAGCATGGTGCTTGTGTACACCGGTGTGTCCTCGGACTTCTTACTGCTCACCAGACACTCTGCCCTTCCTGGTTATTGTTGTTGTTGTTGCTGGATACTCATGAATAAAGTAAAAAAGAAGGTACTGTCCATTCTATGAAAAACAGAAGTGCTGCCTCATCCAGAAATCAACACAAATTAGCAATTCTTTAGGTTGGGACCATGTCACCCATTAAGGGCCATCAAATAGAATCAAAGGTTAGTAGTCACTTAAAAAGAGCAATTAGACATGGACATAATCCCCCAATCCACTCCTGAAAAGGAAATAGCATGAAAATGGACTTGTATCATGTTGTTTAATTCATTTAGTCCATCTTGTACCTGCTACATCATGGTGATCAAAAAGCCAAAGTGTAATAAGTATTCTGCTGTATGCTCAGGAATGAAAATTGGAAACTTTGGTCTTCCTAGGCCTTCAGGCTCAGAAATTATCAAATCATTCAAAACTTTTGTCGGTATAACTCTTATTCATTCCATTGCAGCCAGACCAATATAGAAATTCATAGCTTCTGCATTTGAGACTGTGAGCCTACTGTACCATTGTCAAATCTGCTCAAAATAAAATCTTAAACTCCGCAACCTTCTTTCACCTCAAAAATAGCACAGTCTCATTTTGCACATGGTAGTTAGATTTTGTTGAGGAAGTGGCATTCTCTGACAGAAATAACAAAAACAACAACAACCAAGTTCAAGCGTACCCAAAATCATGAAATATCTGTGAAGCTGGAGAATATGTTCTGTGTTCTGATTAATATTTACATCTCAAACTACATCTGCTCAGGCAGAAATTGTTCCAGATGGCTTACTTGTACAAAAATGAAATACCTCATGTATAAGTCCATGGAATGGCATTCTGGACTGACATGGAAGTGAAACAGAAAGGCCAAACTATCAGTTTTAAGAATAACACAAGCAGTTCCCACTGCTTCCTTTAGAAGGGCAAGTGTCACATGTAGGATAATTACAATAAGCCTTGTTATAACCTGGGATTTAGGCCAGAAAAAAATGCAGATCTCCTTTATTTAAATATTCTTTCAAGCCATCATTCCCCTTTTCCTTTTTTCTCCTGTATTTATGTGGTTGGTTTTAATTAAATGAATGTATGCATCCAAATGCCATCATGATGACTGACAAATACAAAGCAGATATATGTTGATGATCAATAAAAGCAGATGCTTTTATTTAAAAGTTGCTATGATGATGTATTTTTCCTGCAGTACAGCATTAATATAATTTTGTGAGACTGAGAAGTCTTAAGTGGGGAGGGTTCTTCATCTTCAGGACCATGGGTATCAGAAGGCTATTGAATTTCAGTGTCTCCTGGACTAAGCTTTTGTGTGCCTTCAAGTCAACAGTAAAGAAAATCTCTTTGAGATTTACAGAGGATAGAAGTTCACAAAAAAGCAGGCAGTAAGGTCTTGCCCCTGTGGAATTAAATGTCATGGTTTCTGCTGAGTGGTGAAGTACGTGCTCCAAAGAGATGGGAAGTACCTGAGAAAACAGGATGGCTTGGAGGAAGGGGGATATCGTAGGCTATAGAGAAGAAGCAAGAGAAGAAAAGGCAGGTCAGGAAAGCATGGCGCTCATTCAGGAGCAACAGATTCGTGGCTGGTCTTCCGTCAGTTCATATGTACACTGGTGATGACAAGAGCTATCAGCTGTGCTTGTAGGAAGAAGGACAGAGCTTAAGCCTTTGAGATCAGGGCAGGGGAGCCAGAATGGATGAGTTTGATATTGAAGGCATCTTTACTCTTTTAGCCAAATATACCCATTGCTATGGACTTGGTCGATCAATTGCCATATGGTTGTGCTATGGCTCTACGTAAGTCTATATTATCTCAGATGTCTGTCTTCCTTTTCTAGATATCAATGAATGTGCTGTGAGGAATGGAGGCTGCCAGCAGAGCTGTGTGAACACGCTTGGTTCCTTCCACTGTGAATGTGATGCAGGTTATAGACTCCACGCTGATGGACGCACTTGCATAAGTGAGTAAACGTTGCAATGTCTGTGCTACCCTTGTGGCAGGAAAGGAGATGTACACGTGCACAATGAAACCAGAGAAGCAACTACATCTTTCTGAATTTTTTTTGCCAACTGGAATGATATATTATCATGTTATCAAATCATTAGGAAGATTGTCAATTTTGCACTTTCTTTAAAATAAGTTTAACAACTTGTGGATCATGGAGGGGAATAGACATCAAATTAAAGTTGTTATTCTATATGACAGTATTGCTATATGACTCCACAACCAAACATGTTTTGGAGAGAAAACAGTATAAAGTTTTTTAAAAAAGAAAGAAAATACATTTAAAATGTTTAAAAACTAAACTGCATTAAGACCAGGGTTGGTCAGCATGAAAAGGCTTCTTGGAATGAAACTGTTAGCAAAGTGTCTCTAGCCAAAACCAGCACATAGTTGGTGACCACCTGTCCTCCTGAGGCATGGAGTTCCATCAAATTAGGGTGCCACACTAAGGCATTTTTTTCTGGTGGAGTTCAGATGGGTCATGGGTCCATGTGGAAGCAGCAGGAGAAGATCTTCCAAGGACCTCAGTGACTGGGCAGTTTGTTAAGGGAGAAGACATTTTATGTAATTGTATTGATTATATTTATTTATGTTTGGAAGCTGCCCCGAGGCTTATGCGAATGGGGCAGCATATAAGCTCTCCAAATAAATAGATAGATAGATAGATAGATAGATAGATAGTCACAGGTAAATAAATAAATAATCTCAGGTATCCTGCTCCAAAATTGTTCAGGGCTTTGTCTGCTAATGCCAATACCTTAGCCTTGGCCTGGTAGTAAATTGGTAGCCCGTGCAGTTCCTCCACCTTGGGAATTCTGGGCTGAAAAGAAGCAGCTCGCAAGCACTGAGTGGCTGCCTTCTGCACTAACTCCAGCTTCCAAAGTCACCTTCAGAGCAGTCTGACAAGTAATCATGGCAGTAATTCAGTCTCGAGGTTGCCAGCATGCTGTTCCCTAGCTGACCACACCATCCCTGTCTGAAATTTCCCCCATCTGTCTCTATGGATCAGTACCTGGTGCAATTCCTCAGGACTTGCTCCAAGACAGAGGGGTTTCTTGGTGACAGCGATGGAAGTTCTGTGAATCATGGCAACTCCATCTGCAATTCCAGCCTATTCTAGTGCTGGAATGAGTATCCAGGTGGGTGAGGTCAGCACCACCAAGCTCATCCATCCACATCTCAGTAATATATGCCAGATAAGCTTTCTTTCCATGATTAAAGCTTTCTCATCATCATTTATGGTGATTCTCATCATGAATATGTGCACTCTTACTGTGGCCTGATCTGGCATTGCAAGACAGGAGGGCTAAGTAGCTAAGTGACACAAGAGTCGATTTATGCCCGCCCGCCCCCCGAGATCTGTGGAAGAGGCCCTTCTCCGGGAACCCTCCGTGAAGGAAATTAGGAGGGTAAGTACTCGAAGGAGGGCTTTCTCTGCGGTGGCGCCCAATCTATGGAATGCGCTCTCCAGAGAGGTCCGCCTGGCGCCGTCATTATTTGTTTTTCGGCGCCAGGCGAAGACCTTTTTATTCAAACGTCATTTTAACTGTTAATACTATTTATTTATTTAATTCTTCGGCCAGGGCGACTTATTTTATATTGTTAACTTGTTTTATATTTTTATTGTATAATATTTTAATTGATATAAATTAATTAAATTTATATCAATCTCTCCCCCTGCTGTATTTCCTTCTACCCTGAGATTGCAACACCTCCTCCACGGCTCCCTGCATTAAACTTGTCCTTGCACACCGTACCGCAAGAGCAATTCTTACACTTTCAGCACTCATTTGCAATGTGAACATGCAACATTCAAACCACGCATGAACCACTCATCAATCAGTCTTACATGATCAACCTAAAAAGAGTCCTAAAACTTCAACTAGTGGGTATGAGCAGCCACTGGTCACAAATAGGACCCCCAGCCTCCCAACACAGTAGAGAGCATAGAAGACCACCGTTACCATGTTCGCACCCTCACTCCCGCATTTACTTGGGGAATTCCTCGCGCTTCTCCCCCCAGTGGTGACCCAGAGGGAGCCCTGTCTCTGTGCACCATAGTCTGAGTAGAAAACAGCAAACAAACAAGCAAGCCCACCAACCCTGTTTCTCACCCAGAGTGAGTAACGATTCCTACATCTATGGGCTGCCTGCCATCACACTGCAGGCATCCATGCATCACAAAATGCAAATGGAAAAAGGAGCACCCTTCCCTTCATGGCATCCAAAGGGACATACTGAAGGAGCACGCCTCTCTGGAGCCGCCCTTACCAGGGCAGCCCATTACCCTGTGGAAGGCCTGCTTGTGAGACCCCAGGTACCTGCTGGTTGCCAGGAGGACCTGTCTTAATGGTGGATCAGCCTGAGGCTAGGAGAAAGTTGCTAGGACGTAGCTGTGCCTGTTGGGGAGATGGAGGACGGCATGCAGCCAGGTCTTGAAGAGGCAGCAGACAGTCCTCCCTGAGATATCAGGATTTCCTCCCCAGGGTCAGAATTATTTCCTTACATTTATAACCCACCTTTCTTCCTCTTGCAAGGATCCCAAGGAGCTAGGCTACCCCTTTATGAAGCTGTATTTCGTAGGGGATTTCAGTTCCTGATTTTTTTGGACAATGAGCTATTTTAATCATGGAATGAATTAATCTGTTTGGAAAGTTCAGTGATGCCTCTTCTCTTTACAAGGAGACTAAATCCCACAGTCTGTATGAAAGGGCATCTGTATAGTGCAAATGGTAATGCCCTTTAAATGAACACTGCTGTGTTTTTTCTTTTGTTTTTGAAAGAAAAGATTGTGTTTATTTGCTTTCTTCTTAAATTTATGATCCGCCTCTATATATTAGAGTCCTCAAGGCAGTTCACAGTAAAAATATATATTAAAAACATAAATATTAAAACTATAAAAATCTATAATATCTTGATGAAACTGCCAGAAATAAAATTAAGACCTCCAAGGACAGACCATATAATCAAAGCAACTGTGGAAAGCAGAAAAACAATTGAACTAGCCATCCCAAAGGTCTTGCAAAGGAAAAATAAGTGCTAATTGCTCTTCTAAAGAAAGGAACAAGTTTGGCAGACCTTCCTAGAAGGTTATAGCAATAACACATAACTCTACAAGCCCCCATCAGTGAATTTTTCAAAGGAACCCTTTGTATTGATTAAAAGTGCCACCTGGAATGAGTAAAAATGGGATATTATGAAGGAGACCAGACAGAGGAACCCTGCTGTCTGCCTCTGCCATGCCTACATGTCATTCAGGCTTTCCATGTATTTCATTTTTTAAATTATTCCATTATATTTGTGCCCTATCTTTTTCCCCCTCTAAGAATCCCTAGATGCCTGGCATAATCCTCATCTCCTCAATTTTATCCTTGATTCTGTGATGTAGCTTAGAGTTTTTCTTTAAAGTAAGTCATCTTTGGTTTCCTGAGTTAGAGAGATGAGCAAAAAAGACATTTGGATGCTCTCGGAGTATGTTACTGCCCATGAAACGTCCTGCTGAGTCCCACCCTTCTTGTTTTTGAATAGGAATATAGACTAGATCTTTATACTATGTTGGTTCTTAGTGTTATTTCTGAGCAGGCATGGAAAGAATAGTGCTGGTGATGCTCATGCCAAAGGATAGGTTTTTGTTTTCTTTATAAAATAATTTTTATTTTTCCAACGTATACAATTACATAGAAAAAAATACAGAACAAAGGAAAAACTAACATAAACAAACAGAGTAAAGTGAACAAAATAAACAAAGGATGGGTTTTGCATGCTGTCAGAACTTGCTGCTGGGTTCCAAAGACTGTTTTCTGTTTGGCTTCAAAGTCCTTTTTTATTCTCGTTGTGGCTGTTCTCACCCCATTTGCTCATCCAGCCCTGCACTAGGCAAGCGTTCTGTCTGTTTCTCCTTTTGCAATGGAATGGCAGCAGGAGTGATACTGGGAGCGGAATTTAGTGCGGGTTCTCGGGTCGATTTCACACTCACTATATTAAAGTCACTTGACTAGGAGTTGTTGCTTAAAGAGAATATTGGCCGTGCTTTTATGGGCTATGTAAATCCCCTCCCCTCCTTTACACTCATGGTCTTGATGCCTCAGTTTCACCTTTCTGTGCTATGCATCACTGGGGATGCAAAAGACGGATCTGCCAGTGGTGACCTTTGGGCTGTGCTTACGGAGTCCTGGCTCTCCATCCTTCCTGCCTCAGCACCTGCAGGCCACCACCATGCAACTGATGAGTGCTCCAACTTCTCTTGCTCACTCAACCTGCAGCAAGTGAAAACATAGCCAGCTTTCTGCACTTTTATCTTGGCTGGAGGATCATTTCTAAAGGCTCTGCGTTCTGCGTGAGGGTTGAGCCACGCACTGTGTGCATCATGAGGATGTTGCCAAAAGTGTCACTCCCATGTCAGAGTCTCATCCTTGATGTTCTCACCCATGCTGTGTTCTCACCCTGACACTTATCTCATGATGTGTTGTCATCACATTGTGAGTTTCTGTGCCCTACCTCCTATCATTCGTTGGCCAGGGGGCACAGTGGCTCACAAAGTGATGACGTTACATCATGAGACGAGTGTTCCTAGCACATCAGAGGTGAGAACATGACATGGGATTTTTATTTTTTTTATATATTTTGGCAGCAGCCTTGTGATGCACGTCATTGGTAGGTTAACCCTCACTTGGAACGGAGTGCATGGTTCTCCTTTCTTAAACATAGGATAGTTAGAGGGTCAAATAGACAGGCATCTATTCCATACCAAAAGTTCTAGAAAATCTCACAGTACGCTCTCCTTTGTTTCACATCAAAATAAATGTTTGCACTTCTCCTTCAAGTTTTTAAAAATAGACAAAATGTAAAGAGATTAGGTGGTTTGTCTTCCCTTCCTGTAATGTGAGGAATTTAGCAGAAAATAGGAGTTACCTGGCATATTTTAAAGTATTGCTGGGGAATGCCGGGAGTTGCGTG